ATATATATATTTATTTTTTTTGCAAATAAAAAAAAATTTCAAAATCAAGATTTAAAATAAATAGCCACATAAATGAATTTTTACCAATCAAGAATTTAAAATTGTATGTTTAGTTGATTCCTGCTATATCCTTTTGTAGTGTGTATTTTTAAATTTACAAATGGACATTATATGGTGTTTATATATATTCATTTGTAATAGATTGATAGTTGATGAGTATATAGTTAAAAGGAATATTGTTTTAGATATTAAATTACACAAAGATGGCACAGTGGTGAAAAAAATTCACAAATATGAGCTTCAGGTCAAATCAAGTTGCCAATTTTAAGCCAAACACAATTCTTACCATCAAAATGATCTTTATTGCCACAAATTGGATGCTTTTCTCATGATTGCATACAAAATATACCCCCTTCAAACTATTATTATTCATTGAAAAGAATACAGCCATTATAACATTAAGTTTCAGGGGAAAAATCACAATCTTGGCGGATAAGTTGTTGCTAATGACTGAGATTGCTGAGCTAATCAACAGCAAGTTATTACAATCCTACCTACATTTTGATTTCTGGAAAAGTAAATATCTTCAAATTAACCTACAACACATGACATTGACATGATTCATAGAATATAGATCATTTTCTAAGCTTCTCCTTCATCTCTCAACAGCAGCCTTAAGAGTTCCTTCATCCTTGCAGAAAGTAAACCGGACTAGATTCTTTCCCTCTTCGGGATTCAAGTAAAACACACTGGTAGGAATTGCCGCTACTCCCACCTCCTTAACAAGATATTCGCAAAATGGCAACATCATTTTCATGTCCAAAAGGGGTGTGATCTACAACCACAAAGTATGTTCCATCAGACGGGAATACCTTGAAGCCAACAGCCTTCAACCCTTCAACCAAATAGCTCTCTTTGCCATATAAACCCTCTTCAGTTCAGTGTAATAAGAATCTGGTGCTCTTAGAGCTACTGCAGCAGCTCGCTGCATTGGATTTGTGGTTGCAAAAGTGAGGAAAGCATGTGCCTGTCGCACTCCCCATGTTAAGTGTGGAGGTGCTATGGCCCAGCCGACTTTCCATCCAGTCAAAGAGAATGTCTTCCCTAACGAGTTCATTGTCACCGTCCGCTCGAACATTCCAGGCAAGAAGCAATAGAAATATGTTCCAAATCAAATGCCAACTTATCATAAACTTCATCACTGAACACCAAAACATCATTCTCAATGCAAAGAGATGCAATGGTATGAGCTCCTCTCGAGTGAACATCTTTCCTGTAGGATTGTGAGGGGTATTTAAAAGAATGGCACGGGTATTTTTTGAGATGGTGGACTTCAACTCTTCAATCGGGAGAGCAAAATCTGGAGGCCTCAAAGTAATGCCTTTTACTTTGTGCACCAGCCATGGATAAAGTGGCTTCATAAGAATCATAAAAAGGAGCAAACACAATAACCTCATCACCGGGATTTATCAGTCCTAACATAGTTGCAGCAATTGCTTCTGAACACCCAGACGTAACAGTAACTTCCTTTTCAGGGTCCACAACTAGTCCAGTATCTTTCTTGAACCTCTCAGCAATGGCAATGTTGAGTCTGGAACTCCATAACCCCTTGCATACTGATTATTCCCATCTCTGATTGCCTGAATTGCTGCTTCCTTTACAAAATCCGGACCATCGAAATTGGGGAAACCCTGACCAAGGTTTATGGCTCCATGTTTGATGGCAAGCATACTCATCTGGGTGAAAATTGTTGTTTTGAACCTCTCTAACCGCTTTGAAACCTAACAAACAAAATGACAGCAAACAACATCTATTAACATAAAAACACTGTTCAACTATGAACAATGAAGTTCTTTTTCTCCCTCTCGTCATTTTCTGCACTTATTATGGTCAGTAATAACAGTTAAACAACAGACCTATTAGGAACCCAAGAATTGGAATCCAAGGAAACAACACTTTTTATTAAGAAAATAGGAGAAAAATCTCTCCTCCAAGGATTTCCCCTTCACAATATAGTTGCTACTTTATTCACAAATGATTACAATATTCAATAACAATCCATTCTACATTGTATTCTATTCAATAACAACCTCAACTAACTAACCAACTAACCAACTAACTTCTGTAACAACTCTTAACTACTTTAAGTACGCTAATTAACCACTATGCTACATCCTAACAAGACCAATGTACTTCCTTTCATAAATTACCCACTAATTCTAGGCTAGATTTGATTTGATCCTAGGTTCTTACAAATGAACTTGACCTTATTTGAAAAGCTAAACAACCTTGCATCATCAAATAAACTTAAACTCTATTCTGATAAACGGTTAAATTAAGCGCTTATAGCATAAACATATATTTAACGTTAGCAAATAAACCCTAAATTGGGGGGTTTAGCGGTAATTCAGCAGTTAATATGAATAATCTGAAGGCAAATTAGTGAATTAATCAAAAGTAATAAAAGCTAAAAAAATCATTGCAGTGACAAATCTCATCGATGAGAAGAAGAAAACCCAAAAAATGAGAGTAATGAAAATTAAAGCGATAAAATATAATAAAAAAACAATAGTCAATATTTGAATAGAGGGATCTGGAAGGGATAAGAGAATAGGGCGGACCTGCAAAGGCGGAGTCTCGGTGGAAACGGTGGACATGGCGACGGTGGAAATGAGAGGTTTGGGGAAAGAGGGGGTGTGGAAAGGATTAGAAAAGCGTAACAATCTGAAGAGGGAGTGTGTGCAGCAGGGGATGTTGTTATAGAGCTGCATAATATGTATTAATAGTTGGAATTTGATTCCTTTCAGACTAAATGTAGTTTATGGTAAGGAAGGAGAATATGAAACATAAAAATGTAGTTTATTTTTTTATCTAAATATACATTTTCAATTTAATAATGTCATGGATTTTCTTATATTTTATTTAGTGGTGTTTGGGGGAAAATTATCTGAGGCAATTTGGTTTTATAATGTGTTTTTAGATAAAGTTATGGGTTGTTTGGAGGAGAATATTCACTCTTAGATAGTGATAGAAATAGGTTTGGGTTGCCAAATTATTAGGATTTGAATTTGAGATTCATTATAAGTACGGGTGATTATGTTGATCTGAAGTTGCAACTTTGTTGGCAGTTCTCTATAACTTACCTATCGAAGATAGATAAAATTGTTGCAGTTGGAACTGTGGAATTACCGGAGCTTGCTTCCTAATATTCAAAGTTTTCCGTTTCACATAACCAGTAATTTGAAAAAAGTTCAAATTCAAATCTGAAAGCCATGACTAACTAGCTTACTAATATATAAACTCTATGTTTCCATAATAATCATGTAATATAAGGTAGGTACAACACTGATTTGTAAGTGCATAGAACTATAGAAAACAAGTTCAAACTATTATGATGTGCTGAGTTTGTACTCCTACATAACAAAACAACAGCACATATCCATCAAAGCTTGTGAGGAGTATTTATAACAACTGCACGAGTGTTCTTCGAGATGTTTAACTTCAACTCTTCAATAGGGACGGCAAAATCCAGAGGACGCAACGTTATGCTTTTTATATTTGCGTCATCCATGGATAAAATTGCAATATAAGAATCATAAAAAGGAGCAAACAGAACAACTTCATCACCGAGGTTTATTAATCCTAATACAGTTGCAGCAATTGCTTCTGTGCAACCAGATGTAACAGTAGCTTCATTTTCAAGGTCTACTACTAGTCCAGTATCTTTGTTGAACCTTTCAGCAATGGCAGTGTTGAGATCTGGAATTCCATAACCTCTGACATACTGATTTTTCCCAACTCTGATTGCTTGCATTGCTGCTTCCTTAACAAAATCTGGACTATCAAAGTTGGGAAAACCCTGACCTAGGTTAACAGCTCCATGTTTGATTGCAAGCATACTCATTTGGGTGAAAATGGTTGGTTTGAACTTCTCTAACCGCTTTGCATTCTAACAAACAAATAACAAAAAACATCAAGTAAACCACCAAATTAGTCATTGACTTTGTAGAGAATTCTTAAATAGGTTGTTGATATCATGAATAATTTAGAGAGGTCTCTGACTCTACAAATAGAATTGATTTTAATTTCAAATTAGAACTTGTAATTTTTTATATTGTAAAACGCTATGTTTGGATATTATAAAATGAATAGAGTGGAATAGAGCGGAGTATAGTGAAATGGAATAAATATGTTATTTCATTGTTTGAATATTTCATGATGAAATAGTGCAATTTTATCGTCCCATCCAAATCGGAGAGTATAAAAAATGATGGCATGGGATGGAATGTGTTCCATTAGATTCTCATCTCTGCCCTATTCTATCTTTTTTTAATCAATCCAAACAATGAAAGATAACCTTATTATATTTCTTTTCGCTCTATTCCATCGTATTTCATCAATCCAAAGATAACTTAAGAACCACCTCTGAGGCAACGGGTTAGATCTCAAGCCACCCGATCCACCGTCAACAACATGTCAAAACCTATTAAAAGAGCACCAACAAAAATCAAAATCCAAAACCTACCTCAAAATCAAGATCAAGATGACCACTCGATCCACTATAGAAATAAATTAAAACAATTAGCATTCAACTCATTTTGACTAAAAATAACTTTTGTCAACAAAGAACCAAACATATACACTATAAACAATGAAGTTCCTGCAACTATTTTGGTCAATGATATTATCATGTAAACAATAGAATTAAATTTTCTTCTCTCCATAATCCTCCCTCTTATAAGATTCAACAAAGTAAACAATTAAGCTAGCATCATCAAATAGACTTTAACGTAGTAAGTATATTTTCTAATCGTTTCTCTTTTATAAGTAAATTTTCTTTTTTAGATTCATTAAATAAATGATGTAATATCCAAACTAAATACATCAATTATTTAATAAATATAAAAAATAAATGTTAGCTTATAAAAGAGAATGAAAGATGAATAAAAGATATGAAAAATAATAGACAATTACAATTATAAACAGACATAAAGGGATGTGGAAGGGAAGAGGATGAACCTGCAAAGGATGGGTTGGAGTGTGATTGTCAGTGGACATAGAAGCTGCAATGAAAGAAATATGAGAATGGAGGAGTTGTATTGTAGAGATAATGTTGTGGAAATAATTACAAAAATGTAAAGATGAATATATGTGTGCAGAGTGTGGTATTATTATTATAAAATTTGATTAATTTATATTTGACTTTATGTTATTCGTGTTGATGTTACAGTGTAGTCTCTTTACTTTCTCCATTTGTTTGGATCCGCGATACACTAAATTGATTTTAATAAAATTGAATTTAATAAAATTAATTCTATTAAAATTAATTTTAATAAAATTGATTTATATTTGAATATATTGATATAAAAATAAGTTGAACAATAAATTTTGATATAAAAATCACTGAAAATCAATTCTTAAAAAAAAATTATAAATTTTAACTTCAAATAGAGTCAATTTTGAAATAGAATCAATTCTATTTTTGATAAACTAAATACTTCAAAATCAGAATTTTTTTTATTAATAACCATGTATTAAAAAAATATTTCGCAAATAACCGGGTTTCGGAAAAAATTACGCAAATAACCATGTTTTAGATGGCTCCACAAAGGAGGAGCCATCTCATTTGGCGCATGCACCTAGGGTTTTGCCCTAGGCGCCATCTCACTTGGCGCCTCCCTTGGCATTTAGCCAAGTGAGATGGCGCATGCTCTTTAAAAAGAAGAGGAGGCGCCATCTCACTTGGCGCCTAGGGCAAAACTAGGGTTTTTTGCTGTTTTATAAATAATTCGTCCGTTTCTTTGAAATTTCTCACACTTTCTCGCACTGTATTTTTATTTTGTACTCCCTTATTTACGTAATGACGTCGCCTATGATTTTTAGCAGAGATGGTTACGTTATATTCTCCGCCACGAAACCTGCGATGAAAATGAAATTCTGGCACATTCACTCCATGGAGCGTCTGAAGCGGGAGTTGATGTGGTGGCTAGATGGAGACATCGCCGAGGGGGAAAAAATTCGAAGGATCCAGCGAAAACGAACAACAACCTCGCATGCGACAGGAAGACCTAATGTGTGGTTGGAGGAAGTCAAAACAGACAGTGATGTAATGCTGATGATGCATGGGTCAGATGAAATTGTGTTAACAGTTGTAATTTCCTAGATTGAATATCGTTAATCATTGTTGTACGCGAAAACCCTAATGTAATTTCCTATATTGAATTTCTTAAATTGCATGAACAGTTTTATTAACGGGAAACCCATAATGTTTACAACACAAATATTGAAAAGATTTAATGTATTACAAAATTTATGTGGTCGAGCCAGACGCCCGATTCGGACAGTTTTTGCGATTGTGTCCGACCTGACGGCATAAACCACACTTTCTTTCCAACCTGTCAAGATCGTCCATTTCTATTGTTATGCGCCTGCTTTTGGGACGACCCTTCTTGTTCCTTCGCATTTGGTCATTGTGCCAAACTATATCACCGTTGTATTCAGGCCAATAGTCCGGTTTTGCCACCAAAGGAAAGTTGTTGTTGTAAACAGTGAGCAACGTTTCAGATTTATAAACGTTTGAGAGCAGTTGAAGCGCGTCTTGATGGGTATGCGCACAAGCGGCAATGACATGAGAGCAAGGCATACGAAAAGCTTGAAACCTGCCACAATCGCACCATTGAGAAGGTAAAATGACCCTGTATTCTTGTCTTGCCAGGCCTTCATTGTGGTCAATTGTCTCTTTCACAATGAAGTTGTGGCTATGGCGGTCAAACCGTGTAACCATGTGAGTGTTGGCTTTAGCACTTTCAGCCTTAATGTATTTCATACAGCTTTCACTCCATAGTTGTCCTGATTGCAAGACCGCATACCACATTTCACCTCTTTTGGCAAATAACGCAGCCATTCTAAAATACGTGGATTTCACCAAGGCAGTGATGGGGAGGTTTCGTATGCCCTTGAATACCCCATTCATTGATTCAATAAGATTTGTTGTCATATGCCCCCATCTTTGGCCATTGTCGTATGACCTAGTCCACTTTTCGACCGGTATATTATCGATCCACGTACCGGCTTCTGGGTTAGACAAACGGATCTCGTTGCGGTAATATTTGAATGTGGGCTGTGTTAGTGCGTATCCCGCATTCATCACCGCTTTCCTCAATGTTTTGTCTTTGACCTCCCTCGAGAAATTCTGGACGATATGCCTGACGCAATAGACATGCGTAGAAGGAGGGTCATGCCAACCATTTGCCGGATTATTATAGGCACTTTCAATGGAGGCATGTCTGTCCGAGATCAAACAGAGGTCTGGTTGAGGAGCCACGTGTGTACGAAGATTTTTCAGGAAAAAGCTCCAAGCACCACCGGTCTCCCCCTCGACAAGGGCAAACGCAACGGGGAAAATGTTATTGTTGCCATCTTGTGCAACTGCCATCAAAAGCGTTACTTTGTACTTCCCATACAACCAAGTCCCGTCTATTTGTAGAATTGGTTTGCATGAAGCAAACCCTGTGATGCATGGTTGAAATGCCCAAAAGACGCGACTGAATATTCCGTTGCCATGTAGTAGACTACCATCTTGGGCGTACGCTAGCAATGTTTCCAGAACATAAACACTACCTGGAGAATATGTCTTGAGTGCATTTAGGTAGCGTGGAAGTTCTCGGTATGACTCCTCCCAGTTCCCGTATGTTGTACCCCAAAATTTGCCCTCCCATAATTCTTCAAAAAAATACCAAGTCAAGCTTCAAAATTCCTCAAGGGTTGCACAGTGCAAAGGTCTCCTATACAGTCAAGATTAGGGTTTTGTGTTCTGATCAAGAAAGGAAGTTTTCAAAGGCCCAATCAAGTCTCACATGCTTACAAATATGGTCAAGTATCCTCATATCAAGTTTCAAGGCATTCAGCACAAAATTGCACAGTCAAAAACCCTAATTGCACCACAGTCAACTGTAGGGGTAAAATGGTCATTTGGCAGTCAAAAGTTCAAATTTTTGGTCAACATATCATTTTGAAGCCACAAACATCATTTGATCAATGCTTGATCATGATTCTCAAAATTTGGCTCAGAAATCATCAAGATGCAAAAGTTTCCTTATTTGGACAGCTGAAAAAGTCAACTGAAATTGACCAAGGCATAACTTTCACAGGGATTATCAGAAAAATTCCATCCAAAGCTCATTTTGAAGAGAAAGACATTTCCTACAACTCATCTTCATACTTCAAGTCCAAGAAATGCTCTCACAAAAAGTTATCAATTTCAACATTATAGGTCATTTTCAAAAGTCAACAAAAAGGGACTTTAAGTCAAAGGCCATAACTTGAGATTTGTAAATCAAAATGACATGGGACCAAAGGAATTGGTTAGAGGACTCAAAGACCTTTCCAAAATGTCCAAGAACATGAGAAAAGCTTAAAAATTGAGCAAGTTATGCCTTGTGGAAGTTGGGAAATTTTTGGATATTTTGAAAAGTCAACACTACTTCAAATGACCTAAAATTGCTAATGGGCCCATTTTTCTTCCATGATTCATCATCCATGACATATGCACGACTACTTGGCCCAAAGGGAAGTCTTATTTCATTTTTTATTTATTTATTTGGATTTTTATTAATAATAATTCATTTAAATTAAAATAAATACATGAAAAATGCTAACCTAAGTTTTTTCAATCTTTTTGTGCACATTGTATCATCAATATTTCGTGCATAAGCAAATTAGGAAAGATTTGGAGTGATTGGCATGATTGAGAACAAAGAACACTTGAAAAAGATTGAAAAAAGATCCTTAAAATCAAATTTCCAAAAACCATTATTGCAAGAGATTTGATTGAGTTTTGTTAACCTAATGCCTTCACTACATATGCCTGATCATAAACCTAATCACAATAGACTCTCAGCTGCGCCCAAAAGCATTTGCAAAACTTGAATTTTTTGTTAAGAAAGTCAAAACTGAAAACCACTTTTCAGGTGGATTCAAGGCACGAAATTTGTTTCAATAGCTTCCTCAAGGTTCCCTGAACATGTTCCAATCCATATCATCCATTCAAACTCCAAGAATTGGTATATTGAACCTGAACTGTATCAAATAAATTCCATAATCGTACATCCCATTCTATGCATTATTTGTGAAATTTATTCATGGATTCATGTTTATTATCTTGTCCTGAAACTAACCAATGCATTTAATTGCGTTTTTATGTTGTATATGAGATTTCACCATGCTTGCTTTCTAGGGTTTGCAGGACCTCAAAATTGGGGTTTCTTATTTAACGAAAAATTAGCCTTCAAGAATGCCATGGTTGTAATCAGCAGACCTGGACGATCCTAAACGTGTCCTCGCGCCTAATTTATGAGTAACACAGGCCTAATCGCTATTTTTTAATAGCACACCTAAAACTACGCGTGAAAAACCGTTGCCTGTGTGTTTTATGTTACAGGGATGATGAAGACGATGATGTTGTGGCACACGCTGATTGGCACGTTCAAAAATTCGCGCGCGTTTCCAAGCATTAACCCACTTTCTATTATATTATTTGTTTGTTGATTATATAACAAATGCGTTGTTTGGTTCAGTTGGCAAGCGAGGAGTGTATTAACGTCCAAGACCTGGGTTCGAGCCCCAGGTCTGTATAATTTCTCATATTATTTTGCAATAATAATTCCCATGCAGCGCCCATGCCAAGACACACCATACATCCTCCAGATCTATCCACCCACGCGTCCATCAGAATCAAATCAAAGGCTCAAGATTGATGAACACGCTAAGCCCTAGTCAACGCACTACACGCTACTCAAAAAAGGTCAATGGACCTGAAGCTTGTTGGGCCAGAATTTCACAGTCACACCTCACAATTGGGGCCTGAACCCCCCCCCCCCCCTGGTTTGCAATTTTCTTCATATTTTATTTTTTCAATTATTGTTTTATTTATTTTATTGTTTTGATTTAATTAATTATTTTTTACAAAATACAAAAACCTCATAAAAATCAGAAAAGATAAAGAACATAATAAATATTTTATTTTAATATTTTCTTGTAAATAAATGCTTGGAAATTAA